CTCGCCTTGAAACAATACAGTTACTAATTGGTTTAGCTGCTTCTTATGGATGGGAGATTCATCATCTTGACGTCAAGACGTCATTCTTACATGGTGAGCTCAATGAGGAAGTGTATGTGTCTCAACCCGATGGATTTGAATAGAAGGGAGAAGAGCATAAGGTTTTCAAACTCCAGAAGGCTTTATACGGCTTGAGAAAAGCTCCGCGGGCATGGAATACGAAGCTTGATCAGATTTTAAAAGGAATGAAGTTCAAGAAGTGTTCTAAAGAAAGCTCCGTGTATCGCAAGGAAGAAGGAGAAAATCATCTTATTATTGTCGTGTACGTTGACGATCTCTTTGTCACATGAAGTACAATGAAGATCATCAAAGATTTCAAGTCTGGAATGTCTACTAAGTTTGAAATGTCTGATCTTGGTAAGCTTACTTACTATCTTGGGATAGAAGTTAACCAAAGCAAAGACGGGATTGAGATAAAACAAGAAGCCTATTAACGATGGATTCTCAAGGAAGCAGTATTAGATACTTGTAATCATGCTCACAGACCTATGGAGTTTGGTTTAAAGCTATCTAAGGGACAAGATGAAGAACCCGAAGTTGATGCTACCTTGTATCGAAGAAGGATTGGTTGTCTACGGTACCTTTTGCATACAAGACCCGATCTTGCTTTCTCAGTTGGAGTAACAAGTAGGTATATGCAAGACTCGAGAGAATCACACGGAGAAGCCTTGAAGCAAATTATAAGGTATCTACAAGGAACAACAGCTTACGGTTTAGTATTCAAGAGAGGAGGATCAAAGAAGCTTCTTGGATTCAATGACAGCTCACATAATGTTGATCAAGATTATGGGAGAAGCACAACCGGACATGTTTTCTACTTTGGTGAGTCACCAATCACTTGGTGCTCTCAAAAGCAACCAACCGTAGCATTGTCCTCTTGTGAAGCCGAGTTTATGGCTGCAATGGAAGCCGGGAAGCAAGCAATATGGCTTCAAGACTTGTTAAGTGAGATTACGGGCAAAGAAGGCGAGAAGACTACCATTCTTATTGGCAATAAGTCGGCCATTGAACTTACTAAGAAACCAGTCTTCCATGGAAGAAGTAAACACATCCACAAGCGTTACCATTTCATTCGAGAATGCGTTGAAGATAGGTAACTTGAAGTGGATTTTGCACCCGGAGAAGAGCAACGTGCGGGTATACTAACAAAGGCCCTAGCAAGAATCAAGTTTAAGGAAATGAGGAGTATGATTGGAGTTCAAGATCTCTCAAAGACTAACTTGAAGCTTAAGGGGGTGAATGTTGGATAATCTTCAAGAGGCTTAAGGCCCAAGATATCTTTAGTGAGGAGGTTAAAGATTAAGATAGGCCTAGAATGTTCCATTAGGTTTAGGAGTTATCTTTTCCTAATGTGTTTAGGATTAACAAAGTTGTGTTTCCTATAGATAGGTCTCTAAGGTTGAGTTGTAACCTTAAGAGATTAGAGAAAGCTTGTTTAGTTTTGAGAGAGTTTCTAAACAATCAATAAAGAGAGTTATACTTTGTTGATATACTTGTGTTCTAAGCTTCTTAGTTTCTTTTATGCTATAGATTGGTACATTAGTTTTGAAGAAAAATAGTAGGGAAAAGTGAAAATTTTCTATCAATTGGAATCCAAAGTTCGAAAGGTTACAAGGAAGAGTTAGACTATCAAAAAGACGAGTTAGCTAATTAAAACAAGTAAATAATTCTATAGGTTTCATGAGTCAAAAGTTGAGGAAGCTCCCCTTACTGAAGATGGTCCCCTATTTATTTAGATAATAAGGTTGTTTGCTATTAGTTCGGGTTTTTCTTCTTTGCTTTCGGATTCCATAGATTTTACTTTCTTTCTCGCCGATTTTGTTTTAATCTCTTCTAAGTCGGCAGTAGTGATGTTCGTTGAGTTTCATGGGCTTGATCGGCGAATAATCGGACTAATTTCGATTTGGGCCAGACTTAAGTGAGGGTGCTCAGCCCATCTCCAACACCTCCTACTTCTCACTTTCTCAACAAATTTGATTAGACATTTTTTTAATTCATTTATGTTTGGTTATTTTAATTTGTGTGTTTTGAAAAGATGTTGTGCTTTTATATATCTTTAATCATAGAAAGTTGGATGTCGCCTAGTTTTCTGATTCTGGCCATGCTGCATATCCCTTATATATTAATAGAGAAATACTCTAAAAAATAAACCTTACATTAACGTGTTATTAACAAGATTGCTATGCTGACGTGTCGCTCTTAGAATGATTTGTCATCTATTTAAATAATTGCCCAAATTTTATTAGACTATTTACAGAATTTGCCATTAGTATTATACATACATATATTCCATCAATCAAAACGAATTTCTAATTAAAATTGCAAATAATTATGCAATAAATCTTTCCAAAATAAATATACCACAAACTTAACAAATGATTATGTAACTAATATTAGTAAGGCTTCGAGACCACCTTTATCTCTATATTAGCAAGATCATTAAAATGTAGTAGAGACTACAATACTTTGCTAATGTTGGTGAAAGCATCCAAAATTAATCTTGATTGATGCTAAAGTTAGTTTCTTTTATTCATTTAACGTTTTACTATTTCTTTTACTTAACTTATAATCATGCTATAATACGTTTGATAATATGTAGTAGTGTAAAATCTATAATACGTTCAATTATATATAGTAGTGTAAAATCTATAATACATACTCCATTTGCTTAATCTTTCTCCACTAATCGTCTATAATCATGCAATTTCTTTTACACATTTGTATCAATGTTTTTAAATCCGATCCAAACAATGAAGCAGACTTCTTTCTATGTCACTAGGTTAACCGGGTTCAAACACGGGTCAATTGATTATTATTTTAATTTATTTAAAATTTATAGAGATTATATAGTTTTATAAATATAAAAATTAAAATTAAAATAATCATATCATGTTTTATAGAATATGAAGTCTAACAATAATAGTAACATGATTAAATATTTTTAATCCAACTAAAATCATAAAAAATACTAAGATAGTAGGATAGTGAATATGAAAAACTGAAAAAGTTCTAAAAATAACTAAATAGTGAATACACAAAAAAATCTAACATCCTATCTTTTAACGGACATTAGCACTAAACCTAAACCGGAGATATGTACGAGTCGCAGGTTAACCAAACATATCGGACGGTTCGAGTCGGACGTAAAAACACTGATTTATACGTATATAAAGAAATTTATTGAAAGACACAAAATATTCACCTTTTTAAAGATTGAACAATTTCTTTATTTATACAGAAAATTGTGACCATTAACCTCCTCCCGCGCAAGGCACGGGTCCTGTATCTAGTTGCCTAATATTCTCAGTCCTCTAGCCTTGTTCTCCTGGTGAGAGCAGTAGATATTTTCTCTTGAACACTTTACCAAAGCGGCAAAGCCAAAAGTCCAAACATAAACTAAGAGAGCAGTAGATTTAAGTTTGCTTTCCAACTTTCAAAGACATCTTAGGCAAACAAATTATTGTTGACATCGTTTTGTGACGAACATATCATAGGCAAAAAGTAACCGTCCAATGTATTCTGAAATATTTAATCTAAACAGAAAAGGTAGCGTCTATATGTGGGATCTACAACTAAAACAAAATAATTTTTTTTATAGAAATAAGATATACTGTATATTATTTCTTACCAATTTTTTTCTTACAGTTTATTAATATATTAAAAAAGAATACAGTAAAACCTCTATAAATTAATAATGTTGGGACAATAAAACTTTATTAATTTAGAGAGGTATTAATTTATCGATAAATTAATATTAATTTATAGAGAGATTTTACTAATTTTGTAATTTCTTAAAAAAAATTCTATCTAAAAATATATTTTTTTATAAACAATATCTTTTCAAAACTAATTACAAGTAGAGAAGCAATTATTAAGTTTAGAAAACAACTCAAACTTTTTTAGAATATTAGAGTCATATTTCATTAAAAATTTTAAATATATATCATAGTAATTCATATATAACATATATAAATTTATATCATATATATATATATTAAGTTAAATATATATATATATATATATTTATAAGTTTATAGAATTATTATTTTATGATATAGATGGGACCATATGTTTACATGGGATTTTCAAAAAAATTATTATCTTATATCGATTTATGTCATATTTTACACTGGTCCCAACTCGGGACCGGAAGAATTTATTAATTTAGAGAGATTATTAATTTATAGACTACTAAATTATTGAGGTTTTACTGTACCTTAATTGTTTTCTCCCACCCAACCCCAAAATTACCACAAAAATATTTTATAAATTTTTATAAAGACGACCACAACAAAATTAATACTCCCTCAGTTCAAAATATAAAATGTTTTACACATTTTATTTTATTTCATATTATAAAATGTTTTGCAAATTTCTATGAAAATTTAAATACATTTGATCATTTGTGACCATATATATTCTGCAGTATTGTTCGTCATTGGTTAGTTTTTTTTTACTAAAGTTAAATCATATTTTTTTTCTCCTATTTTATTAGATATTTGGACTAAAAACATAGAGATTAAGAAACAATACATATTTTCTCATTTATAAAAATTCAAGCAATAGAAGAAGATACAGTATAATTAAAATAAATTAAAATTATTAAACTAATATAAATCATGTATTCAAAGTAGAAAAAATCTTATATAATAGAACAAATGAAAATATTTAAAACATCTTATATATTGGGATAGATAGTATTTTTTTAAAAAAAAACATACTATCTATATGTGTGTTTTTACCTTCAATTTTTTATATTTTGAAACAGAATGAGTTTTAAAGTTTCTAAAAAGGCTAAAATCAAATTGTTATGTTTTTGGAAAACAAAGTTTATTTTTCGATATTGTTATTTATAGATTTTATCCTTTTTTTTTTTTGTTTAGATTTATCTTTTTACATAAAATCTTATATAATCTTAGAAAATATTCTAAAGCCCTATTTTCATTTTCGCTCAAAGTCTAAAACTCTTCAAATCGCTTTGCTTCTCAGCCTCATGGCTCCAATTGCTGTCGGCGATGTTGTACCTGACGGAACCATCTCTTTCGTCGATGACAATGATCAACTTCAGACCGCCTCCGTTCACTCTCTCGCCGCCGGTAAGAAAGTCATTCTCTTTGGTGTCCCTGGTGCTTTCACTCCCACATGCAGGTACAAAGTTTCAAACTTTTTCAGATTTATCGTTTGAATTAGTTTTATAAGATGTGGGTTTTGATTCTAAGCTGATAAATCTCTAGATTTGATTTGAGAATTGTGTTTTCTTCTTGTGAGGTTAGCATGAAGCATGTGCCTGGTTTCATTGAGAAAGCAGAGGAACTAAAATCAAATTATGTTGATGAGATCATTTGCTTTAGTGGTAAGTATGAATTGATATGTTTTTTTATCTCTGTGATGAGTTTGTGTATACTTCTGAAATTGATCAAAACGTTTAATTGTATTGACGCCATCGTTTATATTGTATGGTTGCAGTGAATGACCCATTTGTGATGAAGGCATGGGGAAAGACATACGCTGAGAACAAGCATGTGAAGTTTGTAGCAGATGGGTCTGGAAAATACACACATCTTCTCGGACTTGAGCTTGACCTCAAAGATAAGGGTCATGGTGTTAGGTCAAAGAGTTTCGCTCTGTTAATCGATAACCTCAAGGTGATTGTAGCCAAAGTTGAATCTGGAGGTGAATGTCCCTTGTTTCAACTTGAAACGATGAAGATGACGATGTCTATCTTCCTATAGATTTGGTAGAGCGGATTGTCTCTATGGTTCCCTTGAAATTTATGAGATCAGTGCGATTAACTTGCAAAAGGTGGAACGGTTTGTTCAAAAGCCGGAGCTTTATGAAGATGCACATTGACAAAGAAGCAGCAGCAAGGGAATTAGGGGAGACTCGGATGATCGTGATGATGGATTACAATGTTTATTTAATGGGAATTGTCGTCAATGAAAATACATCCACAGAGTCTCTAGGTAAACTTACTTGCCTAGACGATTCAGAACAAGTCAAGATATCTCAAGTCTTTCATTGTGACGGTTTATTGTTATGCATCTTGAAAGACGATGATACTAAGATTGTGGTTTGGAATCCGTATTTGGGGCAAACAAGATGGATCCAAACCAGAAAGTATTACCGCGCTGGTGGCTGGAAAGGACGAGATATTTACATGTACGCTCTCGGATTCAAAAATAATAGCAAAAGCAGATCTTGTCGCAGCCCCAAAATCTTGAGGTTTATAGATGATTTCAAACTTCGCCCCGAGAATCCCGCTTTACGGTATGAAATCTACGATTTTGATTCTGATTTATGGACCACTCTTGATGTCTCTCCACACTGGCGTATAATGTCTCAGCGTGGCCTTTCTATCAAGGGAAACACTTACTGGGGTGCTGTAGAACGGAATGAATACGCACCTATTAGTCATATAATCTGTTTTGATTTTACAAGAGAGAGATTTGGACCGCTTTTGCCTCTGCCATTTAGTGCTTGGGGTGCAGAGTTTGCGTCACTATCTTCGGTTAGAGAAGAGAAGATCGCTGCTTTATTTCAGACAAGCGAAACATTTAAGTTTGAGATATGGATTACAACTAAGATTGAGGCTGAAAATGTGTCGTGGAGCAGATTCTTCACAATGGATACATCATACCTTGACAGTAAGCTCTCATATAAGAGTTTCTTCATTGACGAGGAGAAGAAAGTTGCTGTGGTTTTTGAAAAAGAAGGAAAAACAATATGCGACCTCACTCATGACACTATAAATATCATTGGAGAGGATGGATGCATAATGAAATTGGAGCTTGGAGAACCCGCAGACAAAAACTGTTGGCCACTTGTGTGCTCTTATGTTCCAAGTGTAGTGCAAATCAAGCTACATAAAGGAGGCAAAAGGAAAGAACAAAGCGATTAGGAAAGGCATTGATAAACCAATCAACCAAGAGGAGGTGGCAAAAGGAGAAAACGAGAGTTGGTTAGTTTGAATTTAAAAAGTCTAGTTTATATGTCCGTTGTTTTCTTTTAGCAACATCAATTTGTTTCTTCCTATCTATTATTCAAGATGAACAAGATTTTTGGATTTAAGTACAAACGGCAGGGTCATTTTCACAGTTTGATTTACGTACTTTGCAACTATCATTTGAAGACCATATGGTGGTGGAGATTGTTCGTCTGTGGTGGATTTACTTGATTGCCAATGTGCGCTTTTTGCTTGTACTACTGTTATGCGTGGACCGAGTAATCGGGGTAAATGCAAGTCTTGTTCTTCTTTGGATACATGGCTTGCATCTCCTATGTTTTCTTCCTCAAGCTTGGAACCATTTGATTTGGTTCTTCTCTTCTCTATAAAATGTGAATAAGCAGTGATTATTGTTCGTTAACCTCTCACTACTCAATTTCTCAACAGATTTGATATGACTCGTTTTTGTTTTCATTTATGTATATGATTATTTTAATTTGTGTTTGTAAAGAAATGTTATGCTTATAGTCTTATAAATTTTTTTTTTTTTACTATAGAAAGTTAGATGTTGCTTAATTTTGTGGTTTTTGCCATGTTACCAAAACATTATTGGTCCTCCAGCCTTGTTGTCTACTTTTGAACAAGCTGCAGAGAGTTTTCACGAAGATACTGTCTCCGGAACAGTACTTTACCGGAGCTATAAGTCAAGGGAAGAAACCAAACCTAAAGAGAAGTTGAGGCATCTAAACCCTAGCCCTTATCTTGACGACTTAAAATAAAAGGGAATCTTACTAATGGTTTTTAGCGGAATCACAGAATTACTCCTAACCATAGCTGAGACTTGGTGTTCAACTCTGGGCTCGAGAGTGTTAATCGACTAACAATACCACTTTTAATGAGCATCCACTACTTTGTGCGTAAAACAAAGTAGTGTCTAGACTTAGCCATTAATGTAGTGTCTTCCGAAGCATTTCCTGACTCAAAGTATATTAGAGCCTTAAGGCAAAAAAAAAAATTGGACTTTTTGTTATCGGAAAATTATTTTTGGCATTTTTTGAAATCTTTTACAAGTAAATTTTTTTGCAGTTTTAACTGTTTTTGAAAATTTGGGCTTTTTTTGTAAAAAGAAGAAATCATTTAAAACAAATTATTTGGGCTTTTCTAATATATTTTTAATGAAATTAAGGCCTTTATTAATAATTTTCTTAACTTTTTTTTTTCTAAAAATATGGGTATTTTTTCTTTGTAATTTTTTTTATAATGGATGTGAGCTTTACGCCATTGCATTCCTGTCCTACCCTATTCTTACGAGCCTGTTCCGAAGAAAGCATTATGATGCTCAAGCCATTGCTTAAAAAACTTAGTGAAAAAGTAAAAGCCTTAAAGTTTGTTAACAATATTCTTAGTTAGTTTTCGTGTCACCTTTCTAGTTAGAGCCGGTGACGAGTACAAGATGGGCAAGTCCATGCTTGCGGTCGATAATGTATATGAATTGTTTAGCATTCAACTTTGTAATTGTTCTGTAGTCTAGTGGTAGCATTCAGGTCTGTTTTGGCTTTCACCATTCTTGTTCGAGTCTTCAACAATGTTAATTTTTCATTATTATTTTTTGGCTCTGCTTCTAGTTTTGGTGCGAAGAAGTATACATTGAGTAATATATTTCCGGGTTTGGGCACCTAGTCTTTGTGGTTCATGGCATGGAAATAATCCATGGACTTTTGGCGAAATCATCATATATATGAAAAGAGGTTATCTCTCTCCATATGGTCGTCACGTCAGCATTTTAGGCTCTTCTGGAGATGCCACATCAGCTTTTTTTCCATCCAATCAAAACATTTCATTAATATGAGTCATCTTTTATTTTTTACACATCAGCTTTTAATTATAAATGTCAAATGGGGAAAACACAATAGTCCATAAGGGATGGCCCATATGAATTTGAAAATCTATTTCACAAGTTAATAATATATTTATTATTTAATTATATATATTATTTAATTTTTTTTACATATTGATTTTTACTAATACTAACTTATTTTGTTATTTTATGTTATTTTTCCATGAAATTATTTTATTGGTTATATATACTCCAAAGTTTTTTTCCGCTAATTTTTGTAATCTTAACTCAAAATATGAGTGGATAATAGTATAGTGGATTAGCTAATGGTTTGAGTAAGTTTTTCTCTTATTTTTTTGATCTATATATGACATTGAGGGTGAAGAGTACGTAAGTTCATCAAATTTTAGAGGTTCTATAATCCCAACATTACCATCTATAAAATTGGTTTAGGAAAGATTGTTTACGGATTGTGTGAGTCATGTATTGTTGAGTATGTTGGTTGAAAATGTATTTTAATACTAAGAGTAGTTGTTCATTGTATGAGTAAATGATTAGCGGGTGATTAACTAGCAACAAGAACAATCAAAATAATTTGTTATTAGCAACTTTTAAAACAAACCCACGCGTAGCGTGGGTATTCATCTAGTATATATGAAAGGAGGCTATCTCTCTCCATCCTTCCGCCACGTCAGCATTTTTGGCTCTTCTGGAGATGACACATCAGCTTTTTATTCGTCCAATCAAAACATTTCATTAATACACATCAGCTTCTAATTATAAGTGTCAAATGGAAAAACAAAATAGCCCATGAGAGATGGACCATATGTGTTTTAGAATCTATTAGAGTGTAATATTTATGAGTTGAGCCCATTAAAAAAAAAAAAGGCTTAATGCTTCTAAACCCAACAAATATTCTAATTCTCCACAAGACTTTAACAAAATAAATCTCTCCCACTCTCTGCTCGATCATTCAATATGAAAGAAGAAGGATCTCAAGACAAATTTCTCGACTTCGTAAATTCGATCCTTCATAGTCTCCCTTTATGTACATCATATTTCTTTAGAACAAACATTTTCTACCTTTTAACTGCCATAATGGAGGCCACAGTAGAAGTTACACAAAAAAATATTCACACTCTCAGCTTATGGGATTACAAACTTTCACTACTATAAACTCTATAAATACTCAAACAAACATTGTTTATACCGGATTATATGTGTTTCAGATAACATCAGTAAATGTTTACCAAGGTGTAAGGAACATAAAAACGATACAGAACCACCATCATGTACAACCTATATGGGAATTACAAAATGAAAACATCAGATACAACTCAAGTTGACAATATCGATATACACAACATTGAATAGCTACTCACCTGAATTACCACTAAGGTGGTGGTATTTGGAACAACTGTCAAAACACAAATACTCTGTAGCGTCCTTTTCAGTATCGTTTCATACTCCCTTTCATCTTTTCCTATCAATATTCAAAGCAAAAGTAATTCAGATCTAAAAACCAAGAATCACCTGTACGACATACTCAAGCAACAAAACAAGCCTCCTTTTGAACAACTAAGCGCATTTCCGATTACCAATCTATCCGGTCTAAGGTTTCCATATGACTTCAAAACAAGCCTTCTCAGCATATTCGTTCTTCTTCGTTCCTGCGTTAGGTCCGTATTCTGTAGCTATAATTTTTGTATCCCTGAAAATATAAACGAGAGAGTTCAATAAATCTCATTCAAAAATGATAAAAAAAAACTTTGTACCCATAATAGATATTGAGAAAGCTGATAAAGTACCTTCTGACCAACTAGCAGAGCCATGAGGACGATGAAGGATATTACGGGAACAAGCAAGAGGTCTCAGCTGACAAGTAAGTCTTTTTCCTGGGTTATATTTCAAGTAAAAAAATAGATCTTATCTTAAAAATTGTAACTACATAAGAAAGATTTAGTTTTATTACCTACATAATAACAAATAAAAAATAAACATAAATTAGCAAGAACAATCAATAATTTTTTCTTCACAATTTTCAAAATAAATCCACGCGTAGCGTGGATATTCATCTAGTATATATAATGGGAGAGTTCTCTCTCTATTTAGGCTATCCACATCATCATCCACATAAGCAATACTATTTATTTTACTTTAAAATAAATTAAAAATATTCACTTAATGCATATTTATATTACTTATAATTAAGAAAATTTTAAATAAATAAAAAAAACAAATTATGTAAAATATATGAGATGTTAAAATCATAAAAAAACACTATAAATTTTTAATTAGCAGTAATAATATAATTCAAATTTTAACAGATAAAAATTAAAAATAATTAAAATTCAAATTTTTAATTGTGTTAATGAATTTTAGAATGGAAGTAAACTTAAATGATTGGTAGAATAAAACTAAATTTATGTAATTCAATATGTAAATTTTAAACAAGAAAATAAAATTTAAAGTAAAACATTAGTTTTCAAGAATAATATACTACATATTTTTTTTATAGATCATTTCGAGATCTTCGAACATATTCAGGGGTTCAATGTGACTATTATCACTTCGGCCAACACACAAGATGAGACTTTACTTTATAAAAATTTTTACTTAGAAAATAAAAAATTATGAAATTCAACTTAAATTTACAATTTAAGAAGAAGATATTGTAAGAGTCACACTTTATCTTGCAAAATTATAAAAAATCTTAAAAATTTTAAAACATTATCATCCATTTAAAAAATAATAATAATCAATGATCACATTATTCATGAGTTCTACAGCAAAATATATAAAAAATAATATGTAAGCCGTTAAAAAAATGATATGTAATTTGTGTAGCATACTCTCAAGTGAAACTACAACTTTATTATAACATGATCAAAAAGAAAAACAAGTTTGATATTTCACAATTGAATCAAATACTTTTAACCCAAAAAATTAAGTATTGAAAGATGAAAATTAAGGAGAAAATAATTATGATATGTCTTGAAAATCAACTCATAGTCCAATATATATTATATGCGAGTTAATAGAAGGTGAAAAGAAAGTATATGTCGAGCGGCAACGAGTTTATCATAGAAAATGACAAAATAATTGGTAGTTAAAAGTGTGTAAAAATAAATTTCTAAAACTTAGAAAGATAATGCACATGACTAAGGTAAAATATTTGAGATCTCATCATTGTGTGAAACGAATAGGTTCTTAGAAAAATACATGACATCCATTATTAAACAGATTATTAGATTCAAAGTTGAGTTGTACCGTTTGGTCATGTAATCATGAAAAGTAAGATAAAATAACACATTAATGACTTAATTAAGAATTATCTTATGGCTCGCTGCACTTGCTTTGATGGGTAAAAAAAAATTCGCTAAAGCTGTTCTAGCAACATAATATTTTACAATAAATAATGTTCATGAAACGGTGTATTCGCATTTTATACGGAATGATGTTATGTACGAACAATCGATAATTAACATCAAAACTTTTAAACAAATGTCTTCATGAAATATGAATATAAAATAAACTCTTTTAGATATAAGATAAATGATCATTAGATGGTCCTCGATGCCGTTTATTCTTCTTGCGAATTTCTTAAGTGATCTTTGTTACCACGTGATATATATCAAATCATTTATTTGTCAAAAATACATTATCGTCGACAATATATATGTTGTATATTACTTATTATATTTATGCTCAAATAATTATCTTTTAAATTTTAATGATGATATGTTATACTAAAAATTTATATTAATAGAAAAGTTTTTAGATCAAAATTACAAAATCTAGTAATGTATAAATTCCATAGTCTTGTCCCGTGTTAAAAAACACAATCTTTTTGAGAAATAAACAACCAGTCACCAAAGTACATGAATAAGCTTAAATAAAACTTGGAAAAAAGTTTTGGACGATAAAGCATATGTAGTTTACTTGAAGCTTTTGTAAGCTTGGATGACAGAAGCAACCGTTCCGACCAGAGTCAAAAGCAAGAGAAACGCTGCGGCTAAAGTTGCTGTTCCGGTCCATAAGTCGCTGAAGTAGACTTTTCTGAGAGTCGCCCAACACCTCTTTCTTCGAGATTTACAGTGAGCTCTGAGATCCTCGGCTATGTAGAAGTATTGGGAGGTGTTCCCTACTTTCACACCAACCTGTAACTTGTTCACCATGTCCACCACCAAGCTCACCCGACCGATATTGTTTGTTACCACCCCTGTGTTCCAGCAACACACGCATTTATTGTTGGTGTCCATATCAATTAAGAGTTAAATGTAGTAATTTTGTGATGTTTGTACCTTCTTCGCTGAGTACCTCGACGTCTCTATCGGAAGTAATTAGAAAATTTAAGAAATGTACGTAGTTGGTAGTAAAGGGTATTAGAGAAACATGGCACTGCTCAAATGCTATTACATTTCTTAGAACCATATCAAACCATTGATTAGCACGAAAACTCAGCATCGTTAATCTACCTTTCTTAAACTCCACATGCAACGAAAACACCCCAAACATCGCTCTGTACGAGGCACAACAAATAAGGTCATTAATTTTGATCATTTATTTGCATGTACTAACCAGAGCCGGCCAGGAGTACAAGCCACCAGTGCTTGCGGCCCCAATATATTTATATACTAAATCGGCCCCATTTTTCCATGAAAATCCTTTAGTTCAGCTGGAAACATACTAGCCACACAAAGATTTGGTCGCAGGTTCGATCCCCAGCAAAAGAGATTTTTTTTCCCCTTTTTTCAAAGGGAATATCAGCCAAAAAAAAAAATTTGCTTGTGGCCACCAAAACTTCAGGGACGGCTCTGGTACTAACTATACTTGAAGCAAACAAATTTTACTTCATTTATTTAAGTGATTATGAAAATAAGGATACAAAAAAATTGTGTCAATTTAATCAATTGATTCAACTATTTTATCGTTTGTAATTGATTTTATAAATGTCGATTGTGATAATGATGTCAAATTTGTCGTTTGTAATTTGTGTTACTAATCCTGGATTTTTGTAATTGATGTTAATGAAAATTGGTAAGTATATCGATTATTTTGAGAAATGTCTCTTTTGTGGTGTTTCTTTTCAAAAACGTCCTATTTAAGTGTCTATTTTCAAAAATACCCATCATTAAATATGAAAAGTTTATAAAGTTTTATAGGGTTTATAAGTTACTTCTAGATGGTAACTTTTACTTGAAAACTCGATCCAAGAATTTATATGGTTTTATAAGATATTTTATAAGATTTTATAAGGTTTTGCAAGGTATTTATAAACTTTTACAAGGTATTTATAAAGTTTTACACATAAAATAGTTTGAGTATGTTTTAATAAGGTTACACACGTATTTGGGTAAATCTCATATTTTTATGGACATTTTGATAAGGTTTTAGAAATTGTGTATATTTGAAAAATAGTTTTGGAAAAAAAAGTATTTTTGAAATTCCCCCATGAATATTTCAAAAATGAATTATTATATAAAAATATAAATGAAAACTGATTTGTATTAATTAATATGACTAATTGATAAAAAACTGACGTATAATAATTTATGTCACATCATATATTGTATCATTTATTATTAATAATTTAGTTTTTTTACGTCGAATTTCTATTGACATTTTTTATTTGATGTTATATACCTTTTTATGTCTTTGAGTTCATTAGGCATAGGAGGCGTCCTCCATATAGACATGGGTATGGCAGCAGGGTCGTATAAATTCAAAAGACCTGATGGCTGAAAAAAACAAAGGGAAAGGAATTGAGACTACTATGGTAGAAAATATTTCAAAACGACGTCGTTTATAGAAATCCAATTAAGTTTCTAAAGTTCTTTTAATCTTTCATACTAAAACAAATTCAATTCAGATATAGAGTACTTAGTATGTACAATATGCATGCCAATCAAAGCAGATAATGACCCACCAAACAAAGTAGTCTTATAGAAAACTTGAAAAGAATAAACTTTACCTTGAATTTCACTCCTCCTTTTGATAGATTATCCGCGTTCATTAACTCTATGTTATGTGGCCAACTCCAGGGAGTTAGTTTCACATGTCCTGGAATGTTGTCTAGCGATTTTTCATAAACGTACCGAAACATGTCTGTGAAATGCTTGAAGTTTGGATTTTCTTCGATTGTTAGGCCAAAAGCATTTAAGATGAAATCTTTAATGGTGGGACATCTATGCAATAACATCACATTGGTCATGAAAGAGCGATCGGAACTGAACAAGCGATCCAAGATGAAAAAGGGAAGTTGATTCTCGAGCAAGATTAAATCATTTCTAACCACTGACTCTTGGCCCAGAATCTCGTCATATGAACGTCCAATTCGCGTAGTAAGAAGGAACTGCATAATGAACAAAGCATCATGAAGGATAAGGTCCACGAAGTATTCGGATGGTATCCATTCAGTCGATTCTTCATAGCTATCCCGAATTTTTTTTTCCTCGCCTTGTACGATTTTCCTCATTTTCACAATACCATCTCCATATTTTGAAAAAGTTTCGAAGTACACCTTTTTTCTGGCTTCCATCATACTATATTCTGGTTTTATATGCCTAATAAACATCCATCACCATATTATGTCGATGAACCGTCGATAATAGCAACAAATATTAAATAATATATAACTAAATAATAAATATCATATAGAAATGCTCTAATTTTTTGTAAATGCAGTTTATTTTTGTGATATTTCCAGATATTCTTCTAATTAGTATCTTATTATATATATTCGGATCTAAATACAGAAAGTATTGGCAGGACCGGCCTCAACGGCAGCCAATTGAAACAATAGTTTGGAGCCTTTTTTTTTTTTTTTTTTTTGATGACTAGAGGTTCTGAGCTTGTAGGGCCGTACATCCTCCAGGGCGAGGCCCAAACCATGACCTCCAACGTGAATCGAACCCGTGACCTCCAAGGTCCCTACATTATCGGTAACCAAGGGGCTTAACCACTAGGCCAACTCATTGTTGGTGTTTGGAGTCTATTTTTGAGAGGCCTTAATTATTTTTTTTGGGTAAATATGCATGAAAATATATATCGTATATTTGAACAAATATGATTAGAATAAAAAATATTTTTTTTTATGTGGATTCTATAAAGTATAAGATAAAACTTCAGTTTTTAATGCATTTTATCGACTAAATAAATTAAATTAATATAAAATTTCTTTAATAATACAAGATATTAAATATATATTTTGTGTTTCACGTACCATGGATAGCTACTAGTTTCAGCCCCGTCTATGGTAGTTGATTTGGGATAACGATGAAGTGGGCCAATGACGACCATACGAGGTGTATAGGCTTCAGGTTTCACATCACGTATCCGACTTGGTACTCTATAAATGCAAGGTTCATTGAGTCCCATCTTCGATAAGTGAAAGACTTTTTTTTCTGAATCAAGTTTTTTTAGACAATTAGTACAAACAAACGAGAAGTTGAACAGTCGACAATAAAATAATCTGAGTTCTCTTTGTAAAGCGGGATGGGTTGTATTCTAATCAAAGACATGATTCTAAAGAAGAAAGCTTACTGGTAATATGGATGAGCTATGGAACGACGATTCAAGTCTCTCCTTAACCCCTTAACGATCTTTCTTGCTTACAGAATTTTACAGAGAAGAAGATGATCATATATAAGTCAATGAATAAAATGATACAACTTGTAAGTTATAAAAAAGAGAAGGGTCTTTTAGTATTAATAAAAAATGATGGAGGACAATGATTATTTAAGTCAATGAATAAAATGGTACAACTTGTAGTTATAAAAATAGATTTCAAAAGTATTAATATTTATATATACATTGGAAGAAAAATTAAAAAAAAAATAGGACAGCTCATCCGAATTGGTACTCTATGCAAAGGTTCTGCATCATGTTTAGATATTTATTACAACCCAACAATAAAGTATGTACATACAAACGAGAAGTTGAAGAGTTGATTAAAAGTTTATGAATATTTAACTTCATACAAAAAAAAAAAAAAAAGAGAAGCTACATCAAATAAAATTAAAAGTTCTTTCTATAGACAACTTGTGCTTACTCAAACAACTCATATTTTAGGAAACAACAATTTCACCTCTTTTAAAACATTGTAATTACGAATACCGCTTTGTTTTTTTTGAAATAAAAAACGAAATAATATTTGTGTAAATCGAAACACGAATGTGTATTTTGAATTTACTCTCGAGAAAAATAAACAAAATACTCTAAAAGATTTCAACTCGGTCTTGCTAACCCAACGGTTATGGAGATTGTTGCAGTTTTATACATCAGTATGGAACGATCCATAGTTACCTGACACAGTGACACATCTCTTAGGACAGCGAGACGAGAGGAATGATATATCATCCCAACCTACGTGTAAATAAACATATTCATTCGTTTACTAAATGGTAGCACACTGTAAATTGTTCTTGAATTTATGTATCTATAAGGCACAATAATGTACTTAGACACCAGCAAGACTAACCTTTTAGAATTGTATGTTCTTTTATATATACAAGTTACAATCGTATTTTCTTTTGGGATTGAATAATGTTAATTGAATTTCTCCATAAATTATTATAGTTATTAACTTTCGCATGTAACTCATTGCCCACATATGTATTTTGTGCAGGTAATATAATCGATTTGCTAAATTTTGAGAAAGGGGTCACACTCACATATGTACAAGTCAAGCAAAGCTACGTTCAATTGATCAAGTCATATTATTTTATTTTGCGAAAGGAAATGAGAATGTGAACACGACTTTCATAACAATAATGGAGACCGTTTTTAATAATGAAGTAGTTGGGACGTAGCTTCCTTATATTAACTTCTTCTGGACGACTTTTAAATTCCATATATTTATCTTTGGATTCGTGTTCGCAGGCTCGCAGCAACAAATTGATACTTAAGACTATTTACTTAACTAATACTATAACATAGCCAACCCATATTATATACTTTCATGTTTCTGAAAAACCAAGCTCTAAGAGCAACAACAATAGTTGAGTTCTTAAAAGGATATTTAAACATATTTTAATTATAAATTTTGACAATATTAAAGTTAAGAGTTTTTGATGAATCGTTAAAATTTTCTTTGTCTAATGGTAGAGTCTTTAAGTAGATTTCTTAAAAAAAAAAAAATTTAAATGAAAAATTATAAACATTTTTATTTGATAAAACTTAATAATTATTACAATTTTCTAAGAATTTTAAACATACAAGAGTAACAATATATGGTTTTGATTGGTAAAGTTATATTTATGTGATATATACATGTATTGTTTCTATGTAATTATTTAGGAAGATGGTAAAAATAAGGTGGTACGGATTTATATTTTATCATATCATCATGTTTTATCCTCAAATCACAAAATTAAATTTATGTTTCACAAATCATAAAACTAAGATATATAAACAAAATAGAAACGGAAAAAAAAAAAAAAACGAAGACTTGTTGAATTTTTTTTTTTTGTAAAGATTGAAAGATACAAAATGACAAATTTGCATTAGCATGTGTACGTGTAACGAAAAAGTGTATTTTTTGGTGAAAAAGGTGAGCCTTTTTGTTTTTATCTGTTTACCAACGAATGACAACGTGCCACATATGCGCCTGTTAAAATCAGAAAAAACTCTAAACTAAGAAACGGATATTAATATTTCTCACATTTTTGATTTATTTTTGGCCCATTTTCCTAAGGATTCACTCCTAAAACAAAGGGTTTCGATATAAGGTGATGTTATTTAATGATTGATTTTAATAGAATTAAAATCTAACACTAATCCAGTATTATTTAACTAATGATTTTAAATCTAACTTTAAAATCTTGTGTTATTGGATCTTATATTTGTAAATCATGTTTAAGAGATTTTAAAGTTTGATGTTATTCAACTAAGATTTAAAATACTTTATTAAAATCCAGTGTTATTCAAAACTAAAAGACTTGTAAAATCTTTGTGGATGATTGGTTCGTCTGTAGCTGTAGATTTAGTACTAATTTTTTTGCTGTAGGTGTAATGACTGTAGCCGTAGGTTTTAGGCCTATGTATTTTTAAACAAAAAATATGATTAATAAATAGTAGTTACATGTTATATAATTTCTCAAATATCAATTTAATAAGTTATGATAAACATATATATGATGTATATTAAAAACCAATGTGAGTTATATATATATATATGTTTGACCCAAAAAGGAGTTATATATATATATATATATATATATATATATATATGTCAAAAAAATAGATTTTTACCTACTACTTATATCCATAAAAATAAATTTTCATAATATATATATCGATGAAACAATAATTACTTTTTAAAAGAAAATTAGAAAATAAATTGGAAAGAAGAAAAAAAGGTACAACTCTTCTAAAGACCATAAAATTGTGCTGTAGAAAAATTTGTACTTACAGCCAAAATAATTAAAAAATATTGTTTGGGCTGTGAGAAAAAATAGGAAAATTACAACATGATTGTTTCAATTTCGGGGTTGTAGCTTTTTTAGTGGCTTTAAACATCTCTTACAGCCCAACCAATCATGCCCTTTGTATATTAAATCATTTGAAATAAAACCTCTTTAGAGTTTCATGAGTAAATTATTATAATCAAAATCCAAGATATATTGCAGAGATTTTGAAATCCACACAAACAGATTCTTAAAAACAATATCAGAAAGTAAATCTAAACCTTAAAGAAATGATTTTAACTCCGTGATTGAATAACCCTTGTTATTGTTTAGATTTGGGATAAGAGTTTCACTTTGCGTTTATCTTTCGGGTTAGGCATTATCTTCTTTTTTTTTTTATATTGATTAAGGGGTTAGACACTAGTTACCAAGTTGGCTTATTTAAATTTTGAATTTAAATCGTGTTTTCTACTAGATTGAACAAAAAAAACACTGAAAAATCTAAACACCAAGTGGTTGTGGATCGATTTTCACAATAACTCTGGGCTATCTATTCGTTGACTCGAATAGTAATTAAATTGCCCTAAATATAACTTCGTTTTTTTTGTTCAAAAAATATAACTTCATTTGTGTGACGTCTCAAGTCTCGAGCCAAACTCGTGATGTGACCCGTTCTGTACCATAGGTTCTGCCCAAACGCACATTGATGCCTCCGAACGTTTGTGACTGGGATTATGTAGAACAAATCTCAGAATTTATTGTAAAATAAAAGATTTTGTTTTCTCTAACCAAAGAATTAAACAAGATCATATTTTGTGGGAAAGCATGCGTCCATCGTAACTTTACTGCTTAATATCTCAATGTTAAGGGCTACATATCTAGGAGATTTAAAAATTAAAAATATACTTATCTATACTAATATTTTTGAAGTACATTTTGAATCAGGTAGATTAAAAATTTATCCGAGTTTTTGGTATCCGACCTGATACAAAATTTACTTCAAAGTCTTACATCGGATATTCCATATTTTTTTGGATCGAATCAAAACATATCCGAAATTGTGAATCAGATATTTCATGTTTAAAAATATAGATATTTAGAAGATTTATTTCAGATTTAAAATTACGATTCTCATATCTTCTATGTTTGAACTTTTTTTAACTATTTTGAATCATCCTATAATACAGAAAGTTCAAAAAATCTCAATTATTTTCAGATTTCAAGCTTAAAAAATAATTATTCTAGAAATTTTCATAAAATTTGAAAAATCCGTTGTAAATCAGCTGTAAAAAATGAATTCTAAAATTTATTAAGGTTTTCTAAAAAAAATTGTTGTATTTTTAGAAAATAAAGTTTATTTTTGGGTATTGTTTTAGATTTTGCATCTAATAAAATCATTATTTTAGAAATAATCATTTTTATCCATTTTATCTCATTCCTGAAAACGCTGATATAATTGTCCGAAAGCCCTAAAAGTCTCTCAGTCTTGCTCTCAAGTCCAAACACTTTCACTTTTCCCCTTTCTTCAAATCCACAGAGATCTCTCCTCATGGCTCCAATCACCGTCGGCGATGTTGTACCAGACGGAACAATCTCCTTCTTCGATGAGAATGATCAACTTCAGACCGCCTCCGTTCACTCTCTCGCCGCCGGTAAAAAAGTCATTCTCTTTGGTGTTCCTGGTGCTTTCACTCCCACTTGCAGGTACAAAGTTTCAACCTTTTTCATCATCTCTCACTTAATTCTCAAATTTGCATTCAAAGTTTTGATCTTTTTTCTTGTTCTCGATTCAAATTAGTTTCTTCAGATTTATCCATCGAATTAGTTGTATAAGATGTGGGTTTTGGTGCTAAGCTGATGAGTCTGTAGATTTGATTTGAGAATTGTGTTTTTGGTTTTTTGTGAGGTTAGCATGAAGCATGTTCCTGGGTTCATTGAGAAAGCAGAGGAGCTTAAATCAAAGGGTGTTGATGACATCATTTGCTTTAGTGGTGAGTATGAATGATAGGTTTTTGATCTCAGCTCTGTTCTAACCTCAGTGATGAGTTTGTGAAACCTCTAGCTCTAGGTTATGATATGTTCTTAGCCCTTGTAAATGAAGGGTCTTTAGAGATTCCGAGGCTGGTTACCGAGTATATGGACTCACGGTAGCCCATTTATTAGATTCATTTGGTAGTTGGTGTCCCTAATTTTAAATTGTGTAGTATACACTATACAGTTAGAATGGTTATTGTATTTGGCTGAGTCTGCTTGTTGTGCAATGTTTTCGCAGACGTTATATATGCTGCTTAGTTTTATAGTATTGTTGCAGTGAACTATACATTTGTATATGGTTTGATGTCAGGTTTGTTCTTCGGTATAATCTGTACTGATTTCTGCCTCTATGTGTTTGTGTCTACTTCTAAAATCTGATC